AAATTATAATTATAATTATAATAATAATAATAATAATAATAATAATAATAATAATAATAATAATAATAATACCAATAATAATAATGACAATACTAAAAATATCTACAACAATAATAACAGCAGCAGCAGCAGCACAATCAAATCTAACACAACAATTAATTTATAATCAAGACGTAAACCTATAAGTTAAATATCTGAAATCCATTTTCAAGAGTTAACATCCAGTTAAAATTAAAGTAATAATTCTGTATCTTTAGATAACTGAAACTCAAGTGTTCTACATTGTAGTTTTCCCATTTGGCAAAATATCATAAAAAAGCAATAAAGAATATACGAAATTGATATATACATTCCCTGAGACGACTCATGAAACTACTGCTGAAATAGCTAATAATTCTAATTGGATAAATTTCCACATTTAGGAAAATAGAGAAGTAGCTCATGCAGCCTCACTTCATTTACATTATCTTTAACATATGTCTTATCTGAAAACTGCAAGTTTTATTACTCATTATTCTATGAGTTTTTATTACATGAATATCATATGCAATCATACAGTTATAGTGAAAAATATTATCTAAAAATTAAAATCTGCTAAAAAGAAGTTTTGTGTTGTCTTAGTTCTATCTTTCTCTTAGTTTTTTTCATGCTTCAGTCATAAAGAATCTCCATTTTTAACCGTAAGATAATAGGGCCTGACTTATTTGTGATGTAATATTACACAACAATCTAGACTTTGTGGCTAGGCCTAATCTGATTACAGCTGGCCCTCCCCCTATTAGTCATGATGCATATACACGCCATAGGACGTTACACAATGACGTCGGCTATCGCTGTACTGGTCACTGAGGGGTTAAGAAGTTCTCCACACTAGCTTGTCTTCAAATTACTATTGTGTAATTCCAGATTATGTTGGGAAAAACTCATCTAATTGTCTATCAATAATGTAATCATATAAATCTACAATTGTCTAGAAATGAATAAAAATTCCTGAATCTGGTGTTCATTACGCTGACAAATGCAGTCAGTCATATCAGCTTTCAATTAATCCTCAATCCTAATAAATGATTTCTTGGCACTTTCAGCAGCTTTTAAATGGAAGATTTCTTTTCTAAGTATATGAATAATGTTTTAACAAAATACCCTTAAATCCTGCTGTAATCCAAGATGGAAACACTAAAGCCCAGCCAGCACAGTGTCAATAGAATGAGGATTTCCACATCTTTGGCACTCTGGCAAAGGAGAGCAAACATCCATCATGTATATTCTGGCAAGGCTGCACTGTAACTGGTTCCCATTTTTGACAATAAATCACAAAGGATGTTAACTTGTGCTATCTTGCTAAAAATAAATGCAGTGGGAGTTTGCTAGTCATTGCCCAAGTGCCAAAGATGCTGAGCCCTGTGGCAGCACATGGGTGTGGCATATAGGCCAGTAGAGGAGACGTAGATGTCTTGAATACATTTACCACCATAATTAACTAAATAAGCAGGAAAATTTATAAAATATTTGATTGTTATTGCCTTCTCTTTACTAGCATACTACTCACTGGCATAAATACAACCATAAACATAATAGTAATTTGATCATACTTTTCTAAATATGCATTATCTATCTTCAGTCCCAACATCAAACTCAAACCATACACATAATATATTTCAAATCTATGTATAAATACAATTTGTTTACTGGCATTCCAAAACAAGAATTTAAATACGTCAGTTCTTTTCTTGCTCTTATAGCCAGGGTTTTGCTTTAGCTCCAGAATATATTTTTTCTCATTTTACATCGGCTTGATTGTCACTTGCTAATCTGCTTAACAAGTTGTCATATCTAATATTAACTAAAATATGCTGAAAATTTTGAATATTACTCACACTGTCACTCCCATGTTTGTTTATATTTTGGAGGCACAAAGTATCGTATTATGGCAGAAAATATCGTGAGCTAGTTTTTCGCCTTTGATTTCAATTCCTCGCGGCCGGGCTTAAGTCTAAAAGGCTTTTAAATTGAATATAAACTATTAATAGCTGCACATGTTCATATTGAATTATATATAAGAGATGACGATGAAATACAGTGGAATGGAAATAAATCAATGTTGTGTTATTTACGACCATTATCGTACATCAGCAGCCACAGCCCAAGTAGCGGCTTGCCATCTAGTGGCGAGAAAATCAACTTCAATTCCGCGCCTCTCGTGTGCTGACATCTGTTAGTGAAAAAGTAAACTACAAAACACCCACTGTTCACCCTGCTCAGTGTTAGCAATTACCTGATAATGTTATACTACTATAATGATGTTATCCTATAACATATAATTATAGTTGGTGTTGTTTAGAGCGACTTTGAATAACGGTGACTTTAAAATTTAGAACAGGCGACAGCCAATCGCGTGATATACAGAGAAGGGAGTGATTGTAACCCGGGTTTTCATTGGATAATCATTGGTAACACTGCATCGCTCACTGCGCCGGCTCACTCCAGCGCTGATGGGAAAAGCAGGTTGCCGTTCTTTTTATCTTATTTCCTGATTAGAAGGTGATCTGTGATGTACTATCAATTGGAAACTATTCTGTCCGTCATTTGTAACGATACAGTGTGGTGCACGATGTGTTAGAAGTGAAGGGGTCGCATTACAAGGTGTAGCAAGAGTGGCGTCTAGAGGTCTCCGGGCCCTCCCCTCGGCCACATCGTGTGCCATTGATCGCGGCCGCAGTAGTGTCCCCTCGGCGTTGGCGAGCGGCGACGGTGACAGTGTAGTGAGGCAGTGATGGCAGTGTGTTGTGCTCGGCAGTGATGATTATGGTGGGATGTCGCGCGACGTGTATGGCGGAGGCGGTGGGGGAGGAGGGGTGCCGAGTACCAGGTCACCCCGACCTTCGCGCCGCGACCTGAATAGCGACCCTTATTACCTCGATCAGGGCGGCCACCACCGCGCCCACAGCCCTCAACCCTCAGCCGCTTCAGCAGCCGCGCGCCGTAGCCGTTCAGCTACCCGCGCCGCGTCCCCCACCCTGGCCCTGGACCACGGCGGGCCATACATGGACCCCCACGGCACCATGGATGCGGACCGCCGCAGCGGTTCAGCTCCGGGGTCCCATCACCGCAGCCGCAGCCAAAGTCGCAGTAACTTAGGCCGGAACTATCACTCGCTGGACCGCGAGGCTCACGACCGCGAGTTCATGCCAATCCGAGACCCCCGCGACCGCAGCATGGAACGAGGGGGCGCCATGGACATGCACGGGGTCCAGGGCGGCCACATGGCCCGCCGAGACCGCTCGCTGGACCGAGGACCGATGCTGGAGGACGACCTGTACCGCGACCACCACACGATGGGCCGGTCGCGGGGCAGCCCCAACCCGGAGCTGAGTGGGCGGCACGGGGCGGGCGGCCTCGGGGGCATGGGGAGGGATGGATACCTAGCTGAGCTTCAGGTGCACAATTCTGACTTACAAAAAGAACTAGGTAACTTGAAAAAGGAACTAGAACTAACTAACCAAAAACTGGGCTCGTCAATGCACTCCATTAAAACTTTCTGGTCGCCAGAGCTCAAGAAAGAGCGAGCGCTGAGGAAGGAGGAGAGTGCGAAATATTCGCTCATCAACGACCAACTCAAGCTACTCAACTCAGAGAATCAGGTAAGATGAATCGCTGGGGCAAAAACAATGAAATTTGCCGCAGAAACTCGGCTGCAAACGTTGCCAGTAGTTGCAAGTCGCCAGGTACAGTATTAATATTCAAACTCTAAGACGTTATTCTACTATCTCATTCAGGCGAAGTACAAATCGTGCTATATCATGTCATGAATAAAGTACAACCAGTTGCCTCTCTGTCAAGGATTGCGGTCGGGTACCTTGAGGTTACCCGCTTTATGAAGGGAAAGGAGTTGTTTGAAGCTAGTTTGGTTTCATTTTCATTTTGATGAGAACCTTTATTTTTATTCGTTGTCATCCATTTATATTCACAGCTAGAAGATTCTTGCGTTTTCTTTTTACAGTAAAATAGTGTGAATAATGTCTGCGATTTCATATAATTGTCAAGGAGATATCGCTGGCTTCGAATTCACAGCAGGCCAACAGGAACTGATGTCAATATATTAAAATATTTACAAACTGTAGAGTTCAAGGTTGACCGGTTGTCGAAGCTCACGTTACTACGGGTCGAGGTTTCGGTGTGTGTGTGTGTGTGTGTGTGTGTGTGTGTGTGTGTGTGTGTGTGTGTGTGTGTGTGTGTGTGTGTGTGTGTGTGTGTGACCTTTCAAAGAAAAGCAGCTGGAAAGGAGGGATGATTGCGTCTGCTAATTAATTTGCTTTGAAGGGCGGCGTGTATCATTCCGGGTCTCTGAATAAATGATGGAATAATAGATCTTGTGTGCATAGCCGTTTCATTTTTGCAAGTACATAGGAATGCGTGCATGCACGTTTCAAACTCTCTCTCTCTCTCTCTCTCTCTCTCTCTCTCTCTCTCTCTCTCTCTCTCTCTCCTCTCTCTCTCTCTCTCTCTCTCTCTCTCTCTCTCTCTCTCTCTCTCTCTCTCTCTCTCTCTCTCTCTCTCTCTCTCTCTCTCTCTCTCTCTCTCTCTCTCTCTCTCTCTCTCTCTCTCTCTCTCTCTCTCTCTCTCTCTCTCTCTCTTCTCTCTCTCTCTCTCTCTCTCTCTCTCTCTCCTCTCTCTCTTCTCTCTCTCTCTCTCTCTCTCTCCTCTCTCTCTCTCTCTCCCTCTCCCTCTCCCTCCCTCCTCTCTGTCTCCTCTCTCTCTCTGTTCTCTCTCTCCCTCTCCCTCTCCCTCTCTCTCCTCCCCATCTTCTCCTTTCTTACGTTCTCTCTCCGTCTCTCTCACTCCTCTCCCTCCCTCTCTCCCCTCCCTTCTTCCCTCTCTCTCTCTTCCCTCCCTCCCTCTCTTCCTCCCTCCCCCTCCACTTCCCCCCTCTATCTCCTCCCCTCCCCCCTCTCTCTCTCTCTCTTCTCTCTCTCTCTCTCTCTCTCTCTCTCTCTCTCTCTCTCTCTCTCTCTCTCTCTCTCTCTCTCTCTCTCTCTCTCTCTCTCTTCTCTCTCTCTTCCTCTCTCTCTCTCTCTTTCCTCTCTCTCTCCCTCTCTCTCTCCCTCTCTCTCCTCTCCCTCCCGCCCCATTTCTCTTCTTCCTCTCAGTTCTTTCTGTTTCACACACATTCACACTTGTGTGTTTTTTTTTTCTGTGTTTTCAGTATACAACCCTCACAGATGCTAGCATTTTGACGACAAAGGGCCGTTAAGGAGTCTGGGAAGAATCTCCAGAGAGGTGGAAATTACCGAACGGTCGTTATCGCAACCCGAAGATCAATTTGGCCGCCAATGATGTAATTGGTCCCGTGATTAGCCTAAAGGAATCCGGCCTATGTATTGCAAATGGCTGTCTACGTGACTTCTAATTACTATCGAACTGGTTGCCGGTCGTCTTCTCCCGTTAATCTGTTTATTGGTAGATTTAGGTGACGTGGCAGTGTGGTTGGTCTGCGTTTGCTGTGATAGTGGGTTATTGTCGAGTGGGGAAGGTATATAGGTCTATGCTTTGGGATGGGAAGAATTGAGATGAGAGGATTATTCTCTCTCTCTCTCTCTCTCTCTCTCTCTCTCTCTCTCTCTCTCTCTCTCTCTCTCTCTCTCTCTCTCTCTCTCTCTCTCTCTCTCCTCTCTTCTCCTCCTCCTCCTCCTCCTCCTCCTCTCCTCCTCTTCTTCTTCTTCTTCCTTCCCTCTTTTAGCTCTTTCTTCGTCTCCCTTTCACCATTTTCTTTCTCAAGTTATTCTTTTAAGGTTGATTATTAACATCCACCTAGGATTTGGGCCTCAGAATATCAGTATATAATTATATTATGTTAATTATTTCAGAACGAAAGAGATAAGGGCAATGATTACGACATGAATTTATAACGTAATTATGGTATGATATATCATGGTATGTTTTTAACCCCCTTTTCCCATGATAGATTGGCGAGATTATGTAAATAATGTCAGAATGAGATAGCAGCCCAAACAAATGAATGCCATACACAGGATTTAATTTACATTACTGTGGGTTATTCACACTTACGTTTTAAGCTAAAGCGAATCTTGACATATTGCACTTTGCCCGCTGTCTGAATTCAGTCGATATAGTGGCCAGAGCGAAATGTGTGGGGCATAGAATGAACAGGGCAAACATACTACAGCATAGGTTGCAGCATGTTTATGTTTTGGGCGATTGGAGCCTCTGTGTTATATGGTTATAAAGAGAGGTACTACATGGGAAGTGTGGTATCTCTTATCTTTGTAATAAAGGGCAATGCTCTTTGCCCGCTGTTAAGGGATAGACAGCCTGAAGGGTGATATTGAAAAAGTCGCATTTTTGATATTGTTTCATTAGTGTGAAGATAACGAACGTCGAGTCATATTACCTATTCCGTTTTTCTCGTTTATTTTTTCCTTCTTTTTCTCATAGACGCAAAGAATTTGATTATTTTCGCAAGTGTTTACTTCACGGGCTTAAAATCAGGAGTGGAACACTACACTTTTAATCCATTTATAAAGCAAAGCGCATCGTCAAAGGCACAGCAGAGAATGTTTTATGAGTCGCTCCTTTTAAAGCCTCCCTTTAAAGCGCTTCCTCTAAAGCCTAAAGTAAAACAGTATTCAGCGCAGTTGTCATTATCATACTACATACGTTTATAGAGGAATAGTACATGATACTACACAGATGGATAAGACAGAAGTCGCTTTGACACCTAAGCTTTTGGATTAGTACTCTTGTAAGGTAATAAAGTTTGGCATTTGCATATGAATCCTCCTGTTTGCTTATTAAACTCCATTTTGTTGCGGGAAAAGCGTTTGGATATTCAGTTCAGTAAAGAGAATACGAAGTAAAGCCCTGTCGTTTTATCAGTAGTGATAATGATGATATTAATGTTGATAACTATATTATGAAAATAATGATAATGGTAATAATAGTAATGATGATAATCATAATAGTAATTATAACAATCGTTATAGTAATGACAATGATAACAATAATGATACTGATATTGATTATGAGAATAATACTGAAAATAATGATATTGTTAAGGATTAAGGGAACTACTTAATGAAATAATAATGATAATGATAAAGTTAGAAAAATGGAAAATCGTTAACCTAAGCAGATTACATGTGATGGAGACACAACAGACAGTTGAAGGGTGTGGCTAGGGTGGGGAGGGAGGGGACGGATGGGGGGGGGGGGCTTTCTGGCTCAGGAATAATATAAGGATGGGTTCGAGTGCCCCTGAGGATCCTTCTCTTGTGTCATGTCCTGGTGTGGCAGTCAAGATCATCTCAGAGGAGGTGGATGGCTTTCCCATTTCTCGTTCTTTGTCTTTTTCGTTTTGGCCTCTCGCTCTGTATACTTTGTCTTTGTCTGTCTGTCTCTCGTTTCTCTCTCTCTCTCTATCTATCTATATCTATCTCTCTCCCTCTTATTCACTCACGCGCGCACACACACACACACACACACACACACACACACACACACACACACACACACACACACACACACACAACAGAGAAAGAGAGAGAGTGAGAGAGCAGAGCAGTTATGATACAGTTTTGTCTTCAGTTATTCAAAGATAATTTCCCATTTAAGCAGCAGGAAGATAAGAAGGGAACGAATTCGATTTTTTAATACATGTCATTTATGGTATTTAATCATCGCGAAGGGACAGCGTTGACGGTCATTAAGGTAATGAGGATGATTCTCCCAGTAGAATTCCTGTCTGGCGGATCTCCCAGGAAACCTTAATTGTTGTATGACGTGAAAAAAAAAGATAACAAAAAACATTGATTCCTCTGGGAGGCTGTTAGGCTGAGCGTAGGCCTACATTTTTTCCCTTCGAGGAAACGCTACTTTGTGGTGCATGCTTGGTGGTTTCGGCCGTGGATGGGAGAGACAAGGGATGTTGTTAAGATACATGTTTTGTTTTTGGAACTCAGTGGAGTAGAGTTACTGGTAGTTTTAAGGGTGAAAAGAGAAAAGTACATTTGTGGTTAGGGAAGGAGGCGAAAGTGCTGGTAACGTAGGTAATATGAAATGAGACAATGTAGAGCATTTGTAGTAGTAGCTGTATTTAAATATTATGTAATAGATGTGATTAGGAATCTGGAGGTTGATGTAGGAACGAGCCAATCTCACTGAGGAAGAAAATGGTCAATGATTGTGCTCCCTGATGAGCGGGGGGTCACGTGACGCAAAGGTAATTAGCGATGGTAACAGGGGAATTGTAAACATATTGGAAATCATTGCGAAAAAGGGTGAGAATGGCAGTGGTAGAGGAAGGAATGGTGGTTGTGGTTGTCGTTATGGTGATGGAGGAGGCCGTGGTGGCGAAAATGTTTATTGTTTACACCGGGAAGGCGTGGTTGGCCGGACTCCAGCCGTAAGATAAACGCGAGATGTGTGAAAACCCGCCTTACTCTTTTTGTAGAATCAGAATCCTTCTAAGAACGGGTTGTAAGCGTAACGAATTGGTAGAATTCGCAGAGATGGTCAATCAGGCATAAAATTCCAAGGGTTTATGGAGGGAGGCTTGGCTGAACGTTAGGGTTGAACAGATGAAATCCCTAAAACGTTCAGAAATGCATTACTGACGTTGGCTAACCTCGAAGTA